TCGTGATAAGAACAATTGAGACATAAGCAAGAAGTTGTTAGCTCAAATAACGAGCAATAAGTGTTAAGTTGTTGGAATAAGTAATAAAGATAAGTGTGTAGCCATTAAATTGGGACTTTATTTATCAATCCAGTGATCGAACTCAAGAGTGAGTTACAGGTAGACGATTTATCGAGAAATCTGCTACAATATGTATATCTATGACTATATATTGTGACGAACATGAATGATATAACAAAATCGAATCAACGATAAATTGCCAGAAGCAACTAGACAGTTAATTCCTAGATGCCAGAATGCTCTTGAGGCAAAGTTTTGTTAAAGATCTACTATATAAGGGCTGTCGGATTACGCAGCAAACACAGTTCTAGAAGTTGTAAGGTCGAAAAAATTTATTGGAATAAGAAAAAAAGATAAATGTATAGCATTAAATTGGGACTTAAATTTAACAATCCAATTATCGAGCTCAAGAGTGAGTTACAAGGTAAACGATTTATCGAGAAATCCCAAAGAGGGAATTGTTTTAAAATGGCAGAGTTTGACGATTTGAAGATTCCACAACTGAAAAAGGAGTAGGAAAACGTGGTTCGGTGACAAATGGAGTAAAGTCGGAATTACACTCACGTTTGCGGGAGGCCATGGAGGCGGAAAACATTGATGTTGATGAGTATGTGTTTCAGTTGGAGTTGGAGGAAGAGACTACGAAGATAGAAGCAAAAGAAGAGGCTCAATGCTCGTCAAAGGTTGTGGACATGAACATGGTTTTTGCTGCAATATCGCGGATGTCAACGCAAATGACGACAAAATTTTAAGAGTTCGCAGCGCAAGATGCACGTATATCAGCACATGTACTTAGTGCTTCCCAAATATATGACACCTCTATTACGTATCTATTATAACGCGATAGTAATTGCCGTTCAGCAAGATTATGCCAAAATTTTCGTTACGTAGACACCTGACTTCCGTATCCCTGCAAGACGGAGTGTTGTGATGGTTTGTGAGTGATAAGTTCTGAATCTAAGCTCCGAAATTTCTCGATAATATTTTATATTACGGATATTTCAACGTAAGTTTTAAAATATATTGAAAAATACTTGATACCTTATCAATGTCGATAGTTTAGTTTCGATCCTTTTCCAGTACCTATAAATCTGATACGATACTGGTATCGAGTAAAGTGTCGATACTTTTAAAATTTTGTGGAACACTAAGAAGAGGAAATACCTAAAGGGAAATAAGGAACTAACTAGACTAGAACTTAGAAACTAAGATACAAAAATCATCCGAATTTTCTCCGATTTCACATACTGAACTGGCAACTCTCAGTTTATTTTATGTTTGAGGGACTCCTCAAACTTTCGGAGGAATAACCTTTAGCTAGATTCGCACAACAAGACATTTAGAAAATTCCTTAAACATAATATATAAGCAAACAATTAAACTAATTTTCATTACTTATTTAGACACCAGTAAAAAGGTTCTCTAGAGACAAATTTTTCGTCATATTCGAAAACAATGTAGCCGTAATAATGATACAGATTAAAAGTATACATTTAAGTGATATATATGCTAAGCCTACAAGTTGGTTCTTGTTCTTAAATTAAAAGTGACGTGCTTTTATGCGGAAAATTAATCATATAAATAATGAAGTCGCATGTGAATTTACTAGTAAGTACCCCATCTATTTTATAAATTTAATTGTAATACGTAAAAAAAACGTAATATTGAACACAACTATTTGATATTGACCGCAAGATATGTTAAAATGTTTAAGTGGTATGTAAATTTATTTATATAATTTTTACTGTAAAGAAAGGTGACGGTAGATCACGCTTTTCGAGACACAATATAAAAACGAAGACTGAAAAAGACGCAAAGACAAAAGAAGCAGGGGCATTAGAGTCCATTTTGAAGAAAGGTGATTAAACAGACTCATCACCTATACCAGAAACCGAGCTATAGCTGAGATTCCACTTAAACCTCAGAAGAACATACGTCCGACTTCCAATATAATTCTTGAACCTGGTGCTTCTACTTGGGTCAACGCTATTACAGGTGAAAGTGCATTACAGGAAGAGGCTATGACAGGTGAAACTGCTATTGTAGGTGAAGGTGCTATTGCAAGTTCAAGTGTTTCTACAGAATTAACATCTATTGTAGATGTCGACCCAGCTGTGGGCAATAATTAACATACACAGAAATAATATATTTGGTAAATAGGTTCTCCAACCCACTGTTGAATTCTTAATTTACAAGATATCAATGGTGGAGATTTACTTCGAGATACAATAAGAGAAAGCTTAATAACGGTGAAGAAATTTAAGATATTTGCATATTCTGTGGCAAAAAATTTATTGTATTGCTTTGTTGTAAAATCTTCAATACAACTATAATTCCGGTCTATCTGAAGATGGCTACAAAAATTGAGTCATGTAGGTGTATATGCTTAATCTCTGAGACATCACGAGACCATGTAAAAGCAGTAAAATCTAGAACTTTCACGTGTCAATTCGTCATGCCGTGTCCAGAGGATAATTAAATCAGAAATAGAACACTAGAATAGAATATTTTACGAATTGCCTCACATCAAAATGTTGGCTAAAAATAGCTTGGCTTTGATTTCTGATAATCTGTATCAACATAAAATGGTAATTTTTAATACTAGTAAGTTGTTAGCCGAATTTGATCCGTTATGCAGGAACATGTACGAGAGTTTGAAAAAGAGGAGAACAAGCAACCACTTAAGTAAAACACAAATGAGTTTATTATACAATTTCAGACGCATAAAAAATTATATTATGGAAGCTAATATTCGTCGAAATATTATTCTATTATTTAGATCGTACTCCAGACGCTAGTAAAACTGAGCAGATGACCATGATAATTAGGTACCTTTATATTATTCAATCACAGACATTCAAGAACATTCAGAAATTGTAATAAATGAAAGTTTTTAGGATTTATACCAATCGAGAAACATCAGGTCTGGCCCTAAAGAAATTTCGTAGAACAATTACGCACTTGGATAAGAGGCAAGGGTACGAAATGGATTATATGAAAGGTATTGAAAGTGGAGTTAAAGCCAGGATTAAAGAACCAATCCACGGGCATTGGTGGTTCTTTTGTAGTCATTCTTAAATTTAGTGGTAAACGACATGGCAAAGTCCCACTGGAAACTAATTGTTTTAATACTGTAAAAAATTATATTTTATTTTAAGATAAAGTGGTTAATTTTTGAAGAATGCAAAAGGTATTGTCAATACTATTTCGCACCGACACAAAATTCGTGTTTTCATAGACAAAGAGGTTTTCAGGCGAAAACTTGTGTTTTCATCCATACAAATCTGTCAAACGAAAACACAGTTTTCGCTGAAAACCCTTTGAAACTTACATTCCACTCATACGCGCCTGCTCTAGTTAATAATATGAAGACATATTTTGCAGCTAAATGTCAGTTGAAATTTGTTTATCCTAATTCATAAACGTACCCTACAAGAAATGCTGAAGTTCGCAAAACTTACATTTGATATGTCAGTACTGATTACATTTGCATTTTAAATTCATATTCACTGATTGGAGAAAGACGCACAGAGCTTGAGAGGAGGAAATGGCATCAAGTAAAATTAATTTTTTATTTTCATATTTTATTATATTTTTCTTGTATTCCTTTATATTTAAGTATATATTATAACAATTTTGATTAAAAGTTTGAAATTATTAAAGAAATAAAATTATATTATCTACTGCGCAAAAGAATTTTCACTTCTGATAGCATTTCAGTCATTACTGACAATTTTCATATGACGGTTGGTCCGCAATGACTCAGAAAAGACATGAGAGTGAGCAAATAGATATATAGTGAATCAATTCCGAATACCCATGTGTTAAAAGAGATGCAAACTCACACACATACGTTTGTTTAATTTTTGCACAAGCGTCTTAAGAAATGATAGAAACTTTGTTCTGCGCGCTGACAAAATTTTTCAGCTATGACTGTCATATTACCCATCAGATGACCGCACGTTCTTGTAGGGTACATAACAAATGTAACAAATAGATGGTGAACTGTCATGAAAACTCATCGAAAATACACAATGCCGGTCAGAAGACTTTGGTTCCAAATCCACAAATTATGTTTTCAAGAGATTTCGGTGCGAACATAGTAATAGTAAATAAATGCAAAGTAAGATTCTAACTTAGTTTCCCATATTAAATTACATTTCACAAAAGATTGCTTTGAAAACTCATGTTCAGTATTTTACTCCAAGTTCTTGAAGACGCCAAAGGTTAGCTTCTGAAATTGATGCGAGGTGTTAGACTTGAAAATGTCAGACCTGGTGCACATCCAAGAAAAGCATTTAACTTATGAGTGTGTGAACCCCTGAGCACCGTCAAAAAAAAATTGAAGTTTTTTCACATTATAGATACAGCCATAAATTCTGCCAGGATTTCAGATTTCTGAGCACAGTAAACATTTTGCTTTTTTGTATAACATACTCTTACATATATGCCTTAAGATATAATATAATATGATTAGATATAAATGTATTAGAACTTTTAGAGGAGTTGTCAGTCCTTTGTATGTTTTTTAATAGTAATTTATATCCTCAAGATGTTTTCAAATTTGTAAAAGATTTAAGATTTGGTCCAAATATTACAAGTAGTTTTGCGCTCAGAATCCTTTGAACTTTACCGGTAACAGTTGCAAGTTGTGAAAGAAGCTTTTCTCAATTAAAAATAATAAAAAATTATTTGCGATCCACCATGACACAATAGATTATCTGGATTGCCTATGATTTCAATAGAACACAAGGTTTGCGACAGAATAAATTGATCAGATTAAATATTCTCTGAAAAAATGTTTAATTTTTGGTTTCATTATTTTAAAAAATAACTGATTTGTTTTGTAGTAACAGTATTAAATTTAAAAACAAATCTTTTGTTGTGTTGTGTTTTGTTTTTTATACGTACCGTACGAGCCTTAACTTAAATTTTATGAACCGATTGACCATAATAAACAATTAAACAGTTTGGTCCTAATCTTTTTAACTTCTGAAACGATTTTGATGAAAAATGTTTATTGTTCCTTTAGTTAAAGGGCAACATTAGTAATACACAGGCTTTTCTGCAATTTCCAATTGAATGGGAGAAACCTTAGGTGAGAGAGAGAAAAACTACCGACATTCTAAACATATTGTAATATAATCATGCCAAAATAAGAAAAACGAATATACAATTTACTACTCAAGAAGAATAAAAAAAGCGTAATTTCACTAAAAACAGGGATAAAGGGACGCTTATTCCAGTGTGAGAGCGCTTCAAAATTGGCGTCTTTTATAACATTTTGCATTGTAGCCAGATCAGTCAAAATAAAAATTGTTGGACATTTAAACTAAAACACCCAACATTTATTAAGATTAAAATTATTATATATATATCCGATTAACACATGGAGGAACTATTTAAATCCTTTTTTGTGATTTTGTGACATTTTAAAACAACTGGTTTTTGAACATTCAATAGTTGAGAGAGTTGAGCATTCCTTCATCTCTGCAACAAATTTGGCTTTTAGAGAGGTGAGTTCTTCTTTTTATAAATATGTTGTAAAATTAATTATATTTATATTGTAAAATTAATTTGTTTTACTTTATACATAGAAAAACGCGACACAAAACCGATCAATAAGGTACGCCATGTGATATGTGCTTTGTTTTTATAACCAAAACTTTTATTTTTTGCAGCATTGCGGAAAAATTGCATTCCTAGAATAAAACCAATTCAGGTGAGTAAATTATTAATTAATAACTTTAAAAAGTGAACAAATTATGTTTTAAATTGATAAAAATGCAATTTAAACATAATTATGTTGGAGGTTCAAGACGATACATGGATTTTGATTGGTATTGGTATACCATCGTTTGTTGGAGAGATTTTGCCTCATTTTCACTCATAATTTGTAAACGTAACATAGAACGATTTGTGGAGCATCGACAGATTCTATTGCAAGATTTTGTATATTGGGCTTGGTATGGTTGATAGAGGAGATGCTCCAGATCTCGAATATATATAATTATTGCCGCCGGAAACTTAGTTTACGAGATATTTGCATTTTAAATTGAAAATTTCACACTTTTCATTTTACAATTTCTCGATTTATGGTTATCTTTTCTTTTATATTATGCACTTATTACACACTAATACTTCACTACAATGTTTCTACATATCTATTTTATATTAAATATTTAAGTACTTGCTTTAAATAAGCATTTAATTTTTATACAATTTTCGTAATATGAACAATAACCAAATTAGTTATAATAATAAGTGTTGCCATATCCAAACGGATGAAAGCAATCAAAATAAATAAAACAACCCAATCACCCTCTACAAAATATTATGAACTTAATTTTCCATTTTAATAAAAGAAAAAGGTTTTATGGCTTAAACGTATGTTTTATTGCAACTGATAATTTCACAAATGGATCATGATGCTGATTTGCTATATTTTTACGCCATATGTATTCATATATCAAATTTTCAAATTTTCACTGTTATTATAATTATCCTTAATAAAAATTGAAGTTTATAGAGAGTGATATACCCTCTTTTACATTACTTTTTTTTGTTAAGATTTCTTATTGGCACTGGAGGCCTTGGGCCGCGCTTCAAAAAAATAACCCTGATCGGTCCAACACCGGGGTGTTCATAATTCAATCGCGTCAAACCTCTTTCTGCACTGGCGGCCTTTGGCCGCGTTTCAAAAAAATAACCCTGGGCGGTCCAACACCTGGGTGTTCATAATTCAATCGCGGCAAACTTCTTTCTGCACTGGCGGCCTTTGGCCGCGCTTCAAAAAATAACCCTAGTCGGTCCAACACCGGGGTGTTCATAATTCAATCGCGTCAAACTTCTTTCTGCACTGGCGGCTTCGGGCGCCCTTCAAAAAAATAACCCTGGTCGGTCCAGCACCGGGGTGTTCATAATTTAATCGCGTCTTCTTTCCGCACTGGCGGCCTTCGGCCGCGCTTTAAAAAAATAAACCTGGCCAATCCAATACCATAATTTATCAATAGAAGGGAATGAACAAAATTATAGTTCATGTATTTGGGGTATAATCCTCTGTTATTGTTCATTTTAATTCGCTTTGAAAATATATATTTATATATATATATATATACATAATAGATATGGCAACACTTATTATTTGACAACATGGAACCCATTTGTTATTGTTCATATTACGAAAATTGTGTAAAAATTAAATGCTTATTTAAAGCAAATACTTAAATATTTAATATAAAATAAATATGTAGAAACATTGAAGTGAAAAATTAGTGTATAATAAGTGCATAATATAAAAGAAAAGATAACCATAAATCGAGAAATTGTCAAATGAAGTTTGTGAAACTTTCAACTTAAAATGCAAATATCTCGAAAACTGTAACTGTCTATCCAACCATACCCCTCTTAATCCTGAAATCGTGGGATGCTAAACTAAAGCTCACCCAACAACACCGTTATCGGAAAGTGTTGGGCATAAAGTTCGCCTCGGATCGGAAAGTTAAACCATAAATTGGACTCGATACCATTCACAGACCGTTTTTAGTTCTACAGTCAATACGACACGAGAGTTAGTCTCTTTTTAGTTACATATGCCTAAGGAATGAAAGAACATTGTGCCTAGCTTGAAGATACCCAAAAGCCAATATTTCAGTATCTCCTAACTGGTATTAGAGTAATTAATCTAATTGCTGCCTCGCTTGTCAATCTCGTTCATAAATAGTTTCATTTTCTATGTATTTTTTATTTCAGAGGCGTCCTGAACAGTTTTCCTAACATTATTTCAACACGAACGCGATTGGTTAACATCTATGCAAAAGATGAGCAATGACCAGATGACCGATGTGAATCGTCGCACCAATGTAAGTTCCTATGCTGTAATAGCTGAAATGTAGGATTTTAAACAAAATCATGTTACACAAATGAAACCGGCGCTTAAATCTTTTATAGGCGAGTTTTTGGCAAGAAACCTGCGAAGAAATAATGTATGACATGGTGTATAATCGTGATGAAGGGGCCGAATCATATTGTTTAAATAGACACACAATTTATGGTGGACACACACCACTGATTTATAATTAATGTTGCTTTATTTTTAGGAAAAGCTCCGTATCTCGATATATTTTATACAAGCAATAAGTTTTGATTTATTCCGTCATATAAGAACAGTGTTTTATAATAATTCTTCCGGATAGAGTGGTGTGTACATGTAGAGGGAGGCTAAACTCATTTAACCAGATATTTTGTATGCATGTATCTTTATAATTGTAGTATATATAAATATATTGTTAAATGCACTTCTTGAAGTATACAATTTAAGTGTTAATACTTATATTTAACCTATATACATATGTGTAACATAGTATATAATAATTAGTTAGTAATAAGATAGTAAGTAAATACGTTTTTCAATAAAATAAAGAAAAATAATATAAAAAAATATTGAATTTTATTTAACAAAATTGGAATTGGTTATGTCAACATGATGGTAACCGATAAGCTAAAATACGAATTTGTTAAAAGAAACAAATAGGTAATAAATTATGTAACAAATCGAGGCAACAGTTATGCTTGTTAAAGCCAACAAATAGATAACAAATACGCTAACAAGTTTATATGTTAAAGGTAACAAACTGCTAATCAAAACGATATCACTAACCGAAATTTTGGGAACAAATACTTCTGTTATGGATAACACATAGGTAACCTATTCTCTAACAAAAGTATTTATTACCTTCAACAGACTGTAAACAGATTTGATAACCAATGTATGTCATTCTGTTACCCAAAAAATAACAAACGCATATAAAAGGTAACTTAGAACGAAACTACATGACATAATAACGATTGGATAGAGCGAGAGAATTATTGAACATCAAATGGCGATGTGTTACTTTTTTCCCACTCTCTGTGAACAATAACAAGTCGCGAACACGTTTGCTAGTAGATATCCGCTTGTAGGGATGCAATTGAAGACGACTTCATTATATTTAAACGCGATCCAGGATCGCCATATCATAAAATATTTTGAAATGCGGATCGCGGATCGTGGATCGCGCGTTAAACATTAAATATTGATCGCGACATCAACGACATTTTGTATGTAAATTCACGATACGACGGAACAAATTATTAAAAATAATAAAAAGGCATGCATAATCTCAAAATTTTTTTTTTATTTTTTTTATTATCACTGGTATGATCGAACTCAAGAGTGAGTTACAGGTAGACGATTTATCGAGAAATCCGTTACAATTGGTGTCAGAAGTGGGATTGTCAAATAAATTCCCAAGTAGATAATTATTTTAAAATGGCCAAGTTTAACGATCTGAAGATTCCACAACTGAAAAAGGAGCTGGAGCAACGGGGTTTGGCGACAAATGGATTAAAAACTGAATTACAATCACGGTTGAGAGAGGCCATGGAGCCGGAAAACATTAATGTGGAGGAATATGTCTTTCATATGGAATTAGAAGAAGAGACAACAAAGATAGGAGAAAAGAAAGAGGCTCAATGCTCGTCAAAGATTTTGGACGTAAACATGGTTTTTGTCGCAATATCGCAAATGTCAACGGAAATATAGACACTATTTAAAGAACAGGATACACGTATGTCTCAAATGGAAACGCGATTGTCAACGCATTTGGAGGAGCAGTTCGCAGCGCAAGATGCACGTTTTTCAGCACAGTTGTCAGCACCGAAAGAGCTCGACGTGCATATGTCAGCGCATTTATCCTCACAGTTGGAAGAGGAGGAAGCATGTGAGCCAGGATCTTCACAGTATGAAGAGCGAGAAGCTTGGATACCAGCACAAGTGTCTTCGCAGTCGGAAGAACTGAACGGGCGCATGCCAGCGCAGGTGTCCTCACAGTCGGAAGAGGAGGAAGCGTGTGCACCAGTACAAGGGTCCTCACAGTTAGAAGAGCAAGAAGCTTGGATACCAGCACAAGTGTCCGTACAGTTGGAAGAGCAGGAAGCGTGTATACCATCATAGGAAGTGGAGTTGAACCAATGTACGATTAGAGAAATAACTACAGGAAAGCCAGTCACAAAATCATATTGGGCAGAACGGAGCAGTTTAAAGTTAGTGTATGGCTGCTTGCATCGAGTATGGAAAAGCGAAAATGGGCAAGCCTTCCGAGTACTTATGGTTGTTCCAAGGGTTGGAATTCATGATGTTCTTAACGTGCAGTACAAATGTCCAAGAGGAGGGCACTTGAGAGACATGAAAACCTTGGAGAATTTGAAGCAAAGGTTTTATTGGACTGGTTGTCAATCAGCTATAGAAAGGATTGCGAAATATGCTGAGAACATTGTAGCTAAAGGATCAAGGTCCACTAATCATATAAATATTGAAGCGCGCATGTGAATTTACTACGTAAGTACCTATCTATTTTATAAATTAAATTGTAATACGTAAAAAAAACGTAATATTGAAAACACCTAATTTAATATTGACCGCAAGATATGTTAAAAATGTTTTAAGAGGTATGTAAATTTATTTCATATAATTTTTATACCGTACAGAAAGGCTGACGGTAGATCACGCTTGTCGAGATACCAATATAAACAAGTAAGGAAAGGCTAAGTTCGGATGTAACTGAACATTTTATACTCTCGCAAAGTCAAATGGTATACTCGTTTGAGATTTCTTTGTGGATTGACTGATATTTTCGGTAGAAGGTCAACTATAGGCAATGGGGTCCATATATTTAGTACTTAGGGGTTTGAACAGTTTTGGTTCGATTTAGACAATTTTTGACCGCAAGGTGGCATACTTTAATTGCATTATTCACGCAAAGTTTTACCCCGATATAATCATTGTTACCTGATTTGCATAGTGGAAGGTGAAAGAATCAGATGGAATCGAAAATGGTGTTACATGGGAAGTAAGCGTGGTTGTAGTCCGATTTCGCCCATTTTCGCACTATGACATAAAAACATGAAAAGAACGTTATGCACCGAATTTGGTTGAAATCGGTTGAGCAGATCTCCAAATATGGGTTTTCACCTCAAAGTGGGCTGTGCCACGCCCACAGACTAATTTTGAACGCGGTTCCTATAAAGCCAATTTATACCATCTCAGAGATAAAATTTAATGTCTCTGGCGTGTTTAGTGCTTGATTTATCGCGCTTTAAGTAGTTTTTAACAGTACCGTTATATGGGGAGTGGGCGGAGTTGCCACCCTATTTCAACTATTTTCACTCCGTCAATAAAAGTGCTCAAAGCATTTGCTTCTAGTGAATTTTGTTATTATAGCATTAGCGGTTTAGGAGATATGCACGTTAAACCTATTAGAGGACCACGCCCACTTTTTAAAAAAAAGTTTTAACTGCAGATGCCCTGCAAGTTATTTGTTTTTGATTAATGGCGTTTTGTGGGCGTGGCAGTGGTCCGATTACGCCCATCTGCAATACCAACCGTCTCACGGTACCAAGAAACATGTCTACCAAGTTTCATAAAGATATCTCAATTTTTACTCAAGTTAGAGCTTGCACGGACGGACGGACGGACGGACGGACGGACAGACAGTCACCCGGATTTCAACTCGTCTCTTCATCCTGACCATTTATATATATAACCCTATATCTAACTCGATTAGTTTTAGGTGATACAAACAACCGTTAGGTGAACAAAACTATTATACTCTGTAGCAACGAGATACCAATATAAAAAACGAAGACTTGAAAAAGACCCAGAGCGACAAAAGCAAGCAGGGGCATTAGAGTCCATTTTGTAAAAAGGTGATCTAAACAGACCATCATCACCCATACCAGAAACCGGAGCTATAGCTGAGATTCCGCTTAAACCTCGAGAAGAACATACGTCCGACTCCAATATAATCTTTGAACCTGGTGCTTCAAGCGCTATTTCAGGTGAAGAGGCTATGACAGGTGAAACTGCTATTGTAGGTGAAGGTGCTATTGCAAGTCCAAGTGTTTCTACAGAATTAACATCTATTGTAGATGTCGACCCAGCTACGTGGCCCAATAGATTAACATACACAGAAATAATATATTTGGTAAATAGGTTCTCCAGACCCACTGTATGAATTTCAATTTCCACAAGATATCAATGGTCGGAGATTTACTTCGAGATACTATAAGAGAAAGCTTAATAACGGTGAAGAAATTTTAAGAGATTGGCTTGCATATTCTGTGGCAAAAAATTGTATTTTATATTGTATTGCTTTTGTTGTAAAATCTTCAATACAACTATAATTTCCGGTCTATCTGAAGATGGCTACAAAAATTGGAGTCATGTAGGTGATATGCTTAAATCTCCTGAGACATCACGAGACCATGTAAAAGCAGTAAAATCTTGGTTAGAACTTTCACGTAGGCTCAAATCGTGTCGTACGCCGTGTCCCAGAGGATAATTAAATCAGAAATAGAACACTGGAATAGAATATTGTTACGAATTGCCTCAATCATCAAAATGTTGGCTACAAATATCTTGGCTTTGGGTATTTCTGATAATCTGTATCAACATAACAGTGGTAATTTTTTAATACTAGTAGAGTTGTTAGCCGAATTTGATCCCGTTATGCAGGATCATGTACGCAGAGTTTTGAAAAAAGAGGAGAAACAAGCAACCTACTTAAGTAAAACAATTCAAAATGAGTTTATCAATACAATTTCAGACGGCATAAAAAAACATTATATTATGGAAGCTATCATTACGTCGAAATATTATTCTATTATTTTAGATCGTAATCCAGACGCTAGTAAACTGAGCAGATGACCATGATAATTAGGTACCTTTTACATTATTCTATCACAAGATTATTCAAGAACATTCAGAAATTGTAATAAATGAAAGTTTTTTAGGATTTATACCAATCGAGAAATCAACAGGTCTGGCCCTAACAGAAATTATCGTAGAACAATTATCAGCATTTGGCTAAGAGGGCAAGGGTACGATAATGGATCTAATATGAAAGGTATTGAAAGTGGAGTTAAAGCCAGGATTAAAAGAACCAATCCACGGGCATTGGTGGTTCTTTGCAATAGTCATTCTTTAAATTTAGTGGTAAACGACATGGCAAAGTCCTCACTGGAAACTACAATTGTTTTTAATACTGTGCAAAAAATAATTGTTATTTTTCACTTTAAGATGAGAGTGGTCTATTCTTTTGAAGAATGCAAAAGGTTTTACTTTAATACTATGTTCGCACCGACACGAAATTCGTGTTTTCATAGACAAAAGAGGTTTTCAGGCGAAAACTTGTGTTTTCATCCATACAAAATCTGTCAAACGAAAACACAGTTTTCGCTGAAAACCCTTTGAAAACTTACATTCCACTCATTATAATCGCCTGCTCTACTTTAATCGATATTATGAAGACATATTTTGCGAGCCCTAAATGTCAGTTGACAATTTGTTTACATTCCATAATTGGCCTAAACGTACCCTACAAGAAACTGCTGATGGGTTCGCCAATACACTCACCTATGATATGTCTGTACAGTTAATTTACATTTGCATTTTTAAATTCAGAACTATTCACTGATTGGAGAAAGACGTACGCAGAGCTATTGAGAGGAGGAGATGGCATCAAGTAAAAATTAATTTTTATATTTTCATATTTTATTATATTTTTTCTTGCATTCCTTTTTATATTTAAGTATATTATTATAACTAATTTTGATTAAAAGTTTGAAAGTTATTAAAGAAATAAAAATTATATTATCTACTGCGCAAAAGAATTTTTCACTTCTGATAGCATTTCAGTCATTACTGACAATTTTCAGCTATGACGTGTTAATGGTCCGCAATGACTCAGAAAAAGACATGAGAGTGAGCAGTATAGATATATAGTGAATCAATTCCGAATACCCATGTGTTAAAGAGAGATGCAAACTCACACACATACGTTTGTTTACATCAGTTTTTGCACAAGGCTCTTAAGAAAATGATAGAAACTTTGTTCTACGCGCTGACAAAATTTTTTTAGCTATGACTGTCATATTACCCATCAGATCACCGTCACCGTTCTTGTAGGGTACATAACAAATGTAAACAAATAGATGTGTGAACTGTCAATGAAAACTCATCGAAAATACACAATGCCGGTCAGAACGACTTTGGTTCCACAATCCACAAATTATGTTTTCAAGGGGATCTCAATTCGGTGCGAACATAGTATTAGTAAATAAATGCAAAGTAAAGATTCTAACTTAGTTTCCGTCATTAAATTACTTAAAAATACAAAAGATTGCTTTGAAAACTCATGTTCAGATAAGTATTTTACTCAAGTTCTTAAAGATGCCAAAGCCTTAGCTTCTGAAATTGATTGCGAGATGTTAGACTTTGAAAATGTGGCTAGACCTGGTGCACGATCCAAGAAAAAGCATTTAACTTATGAGTGTGTTGAACCAATCATTGAACACCGTCAAAAATATAAAATTGAAGTATTTTCACATTATAGATACAGCCATAAATTCTTTATAATTAAGATTTTTCCAGATTTCTGAGCACAATAAACATTTTGCTTTTTTGTATAACATACTCTTACATATATGCCTTAAGATATAATATAATATGATTAGGTATAAATGTATTGGAACTTTTAGAGGAGTTGTCAGTCCTTTGTATGTTTTTAAATAGTAATTTATCTCCTCAAGATGTTTTAAAATTTGTAACAGATTTAAGATTTGGTCCAAATATTACAAGTAGTATTGCGCTCAGGATCCTTTTAACTTTAACGGTAACAGTTGCAAGTTGTGAAAGAAGCTTTTCTAAATTGAAAATAATAAAAAATTATCTGCGATCCACCATGACACAATAGATTATCTGGATTGGCTATGATTTCAATAGAACACAAGGTTTGCGACAGAATAAATTGATCAGATTTTATTAAAGAATTTGCAGAACAAAAAGTGCGAAGAAAATTACTATAATTACGAGGTAGGATTAAATATTCTCTGAAAAAATGTTTAATTTTTGGTTTCATTATTTTAAAAAATAACTGATTTGTTTTGTAGTAACATAAATGTTTTTTTTTATCAGTATTAAATTTTAAAACAAATCTTTTGTTGTGTTGTGTTTTGTTTTATATACGTACCGTATGAACCTTAACTTAAATTTAATAAACCGATTGACCATAATAAACAATTAAACAGTTTGGTCCTAATCTTTTTAATTTCTGAAACGATTTTGATGAAAAATGTTTATTGTTCCTTTAGTTAAAGGGCAACATTAGTAATACACAGGCTTTTCTGTAATTTCCAATTGAATGGGAGAAACCTTAGGTGAGAGAGAGAAAAGCTACCGACATTCTAAACATATTGTAATATAAACTTTGTGTCGCAAACGAATATACAATTTACTACTCAAGAAGAATAAAAAAAGCGTAATTTCACTAAAACCAGGGATAAAGGGACGCTTATTGCAGTGTGAGAGCGCTTCAAAATTAGTGTCTTTTATAACATTTTGCATTGTAGCCAGATCAGTCAAAATAAAAATTGTTGGACATTTAAACTAAAACACCCAACATTTATTAAGATTAAAATTATTATATATATATCCGATTAACACATGGAGGAACTATTAAAATCCTTTTTTGTGATTTTGTGATATTTTAAAACAACCGGTTTTTGAACATTCAATAGTTAAGAGAGTTGAGCATTCCTTCATCTCTGCTACAAATTTGGCTTTTAGAGAGGTGAGTTCTTCTTTTTATAAATATGTTGTAAAATTAATTATATTTATATTGTAAAATTAATTTTTTTTACTTTATACATTGAAAAACGCGACACAAAACCGATCAATAAGGTACGCATTGTGGTATGTGTTTTGTTTTTATAACCAAAACTTTTATTTTTTGCAGCATTGCGGAAAAACTGCATTCCTAGAATAAAACCAATTCAGGTGAGTAAATTATTAATTAATAACTTTAAAAAGTGAACAAATATAGTTAGTTAACTAATATTTAATATAAGAAATTATGTTTTAGATTGATAAATATGCAATTTAAACATAATTATGTTGGAGGTTCAAGACGATACATGGATTTTGATTGGTATTGGTATACCATCGTTTGTTGGAGAGATTTTGCCTCATTTTCACTCATAATTTGTAAACGTTACAAAGAACGATTTGTGGAGCATCGACAGATTCTATTGCAAGATTTTGTATATTGGGCTTGTCGTCATCCGGTACTGTGACAATGCGAAGTGTGGCATCATTTTTTGACCTGCTACTGTGACAAGATGTTGAAATCAAGCATAAGGAAAGCCAAACGTGACACATATGTAGGAGTCTCTTATTGTTGGGCCATATCTCTTAACATTATCCAATGAGACGGCGAAACGTTATGAAACACAATGTAAAAAATAACTGCAACGTATTGGTGATGGCAGGTCGGACCTGGCAAAGGCCTTAAATAGAGACGAGCGTCGTGCACCCTTAAAAACAACACCGTTATCGGAAAGTGTTGGGCGTTAAGTTCGCCTCGGATCGGAAAGTTAAACCATAAATTGGACTCGATACCATTCACAGACCGTTTTTAGTTCTACAGTCAATACGACACGAGAGTTAGTCTCTTTTTAGTTACATATGCCTAAGGAATGAAAGAACCTTGTGCCTAGTTTAAAGATACCCAAAAGCCAATATTTCAGTATCTACTAACTGGTATTAGAGTAATTAATCTAATTGCTACCTCGCTTGTCAATCTCGTTCATAAATGGCTTCATTTTCTATGTATTTTTTATTTCAGAGGCGTCCTGAACAGTTTTCCTGACATTATTTCAACACGAATGCGATTTGTTAACGTCTATGCAAAAGATGACCAATGACCAGATGACCGATGTGAATCGTCGCACCAATGTTAGTTCCTATGCTGTAATAGCTGAAATGTAGGATTTTAAACAAAATCATGTTACACAAATGAAACAGGCGCTTAAATCTTTTATAGTCGAGTTTTTGACAAGAAACCTGCGAAAAAATAATGTATTACATGGTGTATAACCGTGATGAAGGGGCCGAATCATATTGTTTAAATAGATACACAATTTATGGAGGATCACACACCACTGATTTATAATTAGAGCCGCTTTATTTTTAAGAAAAGCTCCGTATCTCGATATATTTTATACAAGTAATAAGTTTTGATTTATTCCGTCATATAAGAACAGTGTTTTATAATAATTCTTCCGGATAGAGTGGTGTGTACATGCAGAGGGAGACTAAACTCATTTAACCAGATATTTTGTATGCATGTAGCTTTATAATTGTAGTATATATAAATATATTGTTAAATGTACTTCTTTAAGTATACAATTTAAGTGTTAATACTTATATTTAACCTATATACATATGTGTAACATAGTATATATCAATATGTACACATTTAAGATATTCATTACTTTGAATAATTAGTTAGTAATAAGATAGTAAGTAAGTAGGTTTTTCAATAAAATAAAGACAAATAAAATAAAAAAATATTGAATTTTATTTTACAAAATTGCAATTGGTTATGTCAACAAGAAGGTAACCGATAAGCTTAAATACGAATTTGTTAAAAGAAACAAACAGGTAATAAATAATGTAACAAATCGAGGCAACAGTTATGCTTGTTAAAGCCTGCAAAATATGGCCTCTAATAATATCGATTAAACTAGAAAGCAGGCGCCGGGATTAGCCGAGTGGAATGTAAGATCAGCGGTTTCAGCGAAACTGCGTTTCTGCCGATACTTTGTATGGATGAGCATGCCTTCGCCTGAAAACCCTTGTCTATGAAAACACGGGAATTTTGTGTCGGTGCGAACATGTTCATAACAACATCATGTTTTTAAAATTTTTTAAAAACCATCACACATGTATGACATACACGAATTTATTATGTTTACACGCTCATTCTTCTCATCACGCCGCACATGCTTGCATACAAAAATGACCGTGTAAAGGCCGCTTGTTACCCAAAAAATAACAAACGCATATAAAAGGTGACTTAGAACGAAACTACATGACATAATAACGATTGGATAGAGCGAGAGAACTATTGAACATCAAATGGCGATGTGTTACTTTTTTCCCATTCTCTGTGAACAATAACAAGTCGCGAACACGTTTGCTAGTAAATATCCGCTTGTAGGAATGCATTTGAAGACGACTTCATTATATTTAAACGCGATCCATGATCGCCATATCATAAAATATTTTGAAATGCGGATCGTGGATCGCGCGTTAAACATTAAATATTGATCGCGACATCAACGACATTTTGTATGTAAATTCACGATACGACGGAACAAATTATTAAAAATAATAAAAAGGCATGCATAATCTCAAAATTTTTTTTTTATTTATATTTACACATACCAGTGATCGAACTCAAGAGTGAGTTACAGGTAGACGATTTATCGAGAAATCCGTTACAATTGGTGTCAGAAGTGGGATTGTCAAATAAATTCCCAAGGAGATAATTATTTTAAAATGGCCAAGTTTAACGATCTGAAGATTCCACAACTGAAAAAGGAGCTGGAGCAACGGGGTTTGGCGACAAATGGATTAAAAACTGAATTACAATCACGGTTGAGAGAGGCCATGGAGGCGGAAAACATTAATGTGGAGGAATATGTCTTTCATATGGAATTAGAAGAAGAGACAACAAAGATAGAAGAAAAGAAAGAGGCTCAATGCTCGTCAAAGATTGTGGACATAAACATGGTTTTTGTCGCAATATCGCAAATGTCAACGGAAATATCGACACTATTTAAAGAACAGGATACACGTATGTCTCAAATGGAAACGCGATTGTCAACGCATTTGGAGGAGCAGTTCGCAGCGCAAGATGCACGTTTTTCAGCACAGTTGTCAGCACCGAAAGAGCTCGACGTGCGTAGCGCGCGCGTATCCTCACAGTGGAAGAGGAGGAAGATGTGAGCGGATCTTCACAGATGAAGAGCAAGAAGCTTGTATACCAGCACAGATGTTCTCGCAGTCGGAAGAACTGAACGGGCGCATGCCAGCGCAGGTACCTCACAGTCGGAAGAGGGGAAGCGTGTGCAGACCAAGTCGGTCCTCACAGTTAGAAGAGCAGAAGAAGCTTGGATACCAGCACAAGGTCGTACACCTATTCGTTACGAGTAGACACCGACTTTCATCCCTGCAAAGACGGAGGTGTTGTGATGGTGTAGTGATAAGTTCTGAACTCTAAGTCTGAAATTTCTCGGATAATATTTTATATTAGGATATTATACTCAAAAGCAAGTTTTAAAATATATTGAAAAGTACTTGATACCATATCAATGTCGATAGTTTAGTATCGATCCTTTCCCAGTACTCTAAATCTGATACGATACTGGTATCGAGTAAAGTGTCGATACTTTTGAAATGTTGTGGAACAATAAGAAGAGGAAATACCTAAAGGGGAAATAAGGAAACTAACTAGACTAGAACTTGAAACTAGGATACAAAAAATCATCTCTAATTTTCTGCGATTTCACATTTTGAACTGGAACTCTCAGTCTATTTGTTTGAGGGATTTCCCACAAAACACAAAAGAATTAGAAAATTCCTTAAACATATAATATATGCAAACAATTAAACTATTCATTACATAAAGACACCTAGTAAAATGTTCGCCCTAGAGACAAATTTTCGTTATTTGAGAGAACAGTAGCAGCAAATGATAAGAATTAAAAGGTTTAATACATTTAAGTGATATAGCTACAAGTTGGTTCTATTCTTAAATTTAAAAGTGACGTGCTTTTATGCGGAAAATAATCATATAAATATTAATTGCGGTTATGTATAACGGCGGCAGTACAGATCATATCATGATCCGCATACGTGACTCAAACAGCAGATAGACAGATATTTTGAGCTTGCTGAATGTGCGGTACAACCGGGCATAGCAGCAAGCTTGAGTTGCCATCTGATGCAAGAAGCAGTTCGATTTCAAACATCAAAGAGTTGAGTAATTAATTAAAATTCGCAGTCGACGTTCCAGCGACCAAAAGGGAAGTAAATGAAGAAAAAAAAATAAAAAGCAGAATCAGTGTTGTGATTTAAAACTAAAAAAAAATATATATATAAATGTTTTAATTTAATAACATTTAAATATCGGCATTGAAAGATAAACCCAATTCTCCAATGCAGCAGCAAGAATTTAACAATTACATAGAATGCAAATAGTGAATGTAAAATAACGAAGGTGCAGAAAAACAACTTTAAAAGAACCTAACTTTAGAGAGTAGAACTTATTTACTTTGAAATTAAATGAACTGAACACAACAAAATTGATATATATATATATATAAATAATAAAAAATAAAAATAAAAACAAACAACCAGTGTGATTCCTGAGATTTTCTAATAAAAATCGTATGTCAGTTGAAATAAATAAAGAGAAGAGTTTATAATAAATAGCAGTAGCAGCAAGAACGAAGTAGTAAGGGCAAAACAATAACAACAGAGCAGTAGCAAGAGCCAGTAGCAGTAGGGTAATAAAAATTACAAACAGAGTTGTGCGTGGAGAGCAATAGTAAAGGCAAGTGAATGTTATAGATTCGAAGCATACCTATGTTTATATATAATTTATATTATACAATATTATTAAAATAATTTGAAGATATTCTTACGAGTGGGGAAATGAATTGTTAAATATAAAGTATATTGTATATATTTAAGTATTATTCTATTCTATACATAAAAATTTGTGAAGATGGCTCAAAATAACAAGATTGTTTAGCGCCATTGCCAGTTCAACAAACGCCAACAACAAAATATAACGTTTAGGCAAAGAGTCGAAAGGGACTTAAATTTAGCTCCTTTCGGTAATGTAAAAATTTGCGCATCCTCTTCATTGAGGCTATGGCAGAGTCGTCAAGGGACCAGTGTAGGTCAGGAAGAAATAGTTTTAGAGTGATCTTTGACTTAAATGTGGTTCAGCAAAAAATTTTGCAAGAAACCCACCTCAAGATTGGGAATCTTAAAGCTAAATAAACAGCACCTTTTGCAACGACATCTCATATCTTAGGGTGGGTAGTATCATGGAACTTAGTAGAGCAAAAGAAATGAATGTTATGAATATTTTAGAAGTTTTAAGTGAGTCAGGAAATAATGAAAGAAATATTTACAGGAATGCTTATAAAAGATAAAGCAATTATCACAGGAACATAGCCTATAGGTACGAAATGAAGTATCGGTATGGACAGACATGTGGCAAATACAATCACCACTTAATATTCATAGGCTGGAGATTGAAATTGAAACTACGTTTTTAGCAAAAATAGAAATTTCGATTCATTTCTCAAAATACTAGAAAGTTATAATAATAACAGAAATCAGAATAATCAAATAATAAAAATATAGGAGACAAAATAGTAGTGAGCAAAATATTAATTGTTTCAAAAGTAATTCAGGACACACATCCCGTAATACTAATAATTATTTCACAAATAGTTGAGACGATACTCCCAAAAGAATACAAACTTTAACAAGGGAAAATAATGTATCAAACGCCAAATAATCCCCATAGATAAACTAATACCTGGAAATTCAGGTCAAAATATCATTATCGTAAGTATAATAATACGGTTATGTGTAATTCTGTATGGCAACTTCTGTACAAATATGGCACTCGGCAATCAGATACGATCAAATGACTAACACAGTGGAAGCGTTGATCACTATGGGAGTAGAACAAGGAAACAATAACAATGAGGAATTTTATAGTTTTACATTTTCGGAAAATCAAAATAAATTTTATCACTCAACTTATTTATTAAGATGATGTGATTAGTAGACCTCAGGCCTACAGTAGCATAAGAAAAGAGTAAGTTTCGAAAAGTAGTAATTTACTCAGTTTTAGAAAAAATAAACACATAATTCAGTACCACAGTGAGGAAATAAAGCGATGAACGAAGAGTTGAAGACCATGCCCACTAGAATTTGATATCCTACAAATGTGCAAGAATGCGATGGTTAAAATGGATTATAACAAGCCATGACTGACCTTTATATACTAGGAATGATTTTAATATTTGAAATGTGAAAACAAAAAATATTGAAAACAAAGAAATGGCATTGAGATATGGTGTGCAAGTCTTCCATTCTATACGAAAATATGCTAGGAGCAAATTTATTCGTTGGAAGAAAGTGAAGATTAGTAATCATTCAACACCGACATTTACAACCTCAGAAGAAAGAGATATAAAAATAAGTAAAGCTATTAAAAAGAGCTGAAAAATCTCAGAGTAAGAAGGAGATGAGCTGACAACAGTCGTAATCAATTGCTCATGCGAAATTAGAACAACAACGGATCAACAAATTAATTCTCGAATTTACAGATTGCCCCCAAACATGGAGACGAGGGAAGGAAATTGAAGAAATGGAAAAGCAAGGAATAATAAGAAAAAGTCGAAGCCAATACAGCTCACCAATAATAATTGTGCCAAAGAAATCGGATAGTTCCGGTATAAAAAAATTTCGTTGTTGATTATAGGAGGTTAAACCAAATTACTGTTGACGATAAATATCCCCTGCCAAATATTGATGGAATTTTAGATAAATTGGGCAAAGCACAGTACTTTAGCACCATAGATCTAGCTAAAGGTTATCATCAGATCCTAATGGCAGAGAAGGATATAGAGAAAACAGCCTTTGTGACTCCAGCAGGCCTGTATGAATACGTCAGGATGCCGTTTGGGCTTAAAAATGCTCCAGCCACTTTTCAGAGATTAATGAACGACATCTTAAGGGAACATATTAATAAAATATGTGTAGTCTATTTAGATGACATATTAATATTTTCTACGTCACTAGAAAAACACATACATTCACTAAGAAAAATTTTTTCAAAGCTTCAGGAAAATAACCTAAAAATCCAACCAAATAAGTGTAGTTTTTTAAAAAGAGAAACCGAATTTTTGGGTCACGTTTTGACAAAAGACGGCATTAAGCCCAACCCAGAAAAAATTTTAGCCATTTAAAATTTACCAATTCCAACAACAGAAAGGCAATTAAAAGGGTTTTTAGGGACCACAGGCTATTATAGAAAGTTTATTAAAGATTACTCTAGAATAGCTTACCCAATGATAAAATATTTAAAGAAAGATAACACAATAAATTCGAGAGATCCTCAATATATAGCCAGCTTTGAAAATTTAAAAACCCATCTCATCACATCCAATTTTAAAATTTCCTGAATATGACAAAAAATTTACAATTACTGCGGATGCAAGTGATTACGCTATTGGAGCTGTTCTTTCACAGCAAGGCCAACCAATATGCTTCATCTCAAGAACACTAAACAATCATGAGCAGAAATATGCGACGACAGATAAAGAATTCCTTACAATCATGTATGCTGTGACTTATTTTAGACCATACATATACGGAGCAAAATTTAAGATAGTAACTGATCACTGCCCGATTAAGTATCTAAATAGCAAGTATAAAGGGAAAGAATTTTCACCACGACATCAAAGGTGGCTTCTAAAACTCCAGGAGTATAATTACGAAATGGAGTATGTAAAGGGTAAAGATAACGTAGTAGCGGACTTCCTAAGTCGAATTGAAAATTCGCCTAAAATAACAGAGGGGAACGACGATGAGTCAAATTTAGAAATGTCAGATACAGTACATTCTGCGGAAGAAGAACTGTTAGAACACTTTGTAATCAAGGAAGAAATAGTGAATAAACATAAAATTCAAATCATATTAACATACAGTCCAAAATTTGAAATGCAGAGACTCCATGGGAGAAAGATGATAGAGATCAACCCAATGGAGGAAGAGTACATAATAAAAGAAGTGTTAAGTCGACATGTGTCGGCATAATCTCAGAAGTCACTGAATCTGATTATCATAGAATTCAGATATTAATGATTTCGATGTTTTCACATGATAATAATTTTAAATTAGTCAAATATACAAAAAGGGCAACAGAAATAGAAAAAGAAGAAGATTTACATAAGCAAATCGCACTTTACCATAGTAATGAGTCAATGCATAGCGGAATAAACGAAACTTACAATACACTTAAGGACAAAATATACTATCCCAAATTCACAGAGCACATTCAGTTAATAATAAATAACTGTGAAAAGTGCCAAAGAGTTAAGTATGATAGGAAGCCGATAAGACCAAAATTTAAACTAACAGAAACACCGACAGTTAAAAACGAAATAATACATATAGATATTTTTCATTTCAAAAAGCAGTCGTTTGTCACAGTTATTGACAAACTAACAAAATTCGCGGCAGCATACAACATAACTGATAGAAATTGGAGGGCAAAGAAGGCTTTTATAATTGAACATTTCGCGAAATTTGGAAAACCAAAACAAATCATAATGGACAATGAATTCAGGGCCGAACATTTGATACAGTTCTTAAATGCAGAAGGAGTAGAGATACACCTAACAAAACCGAATTCCCACACAGGTAATGCAGACATTGAGAGGCTGCACTCAACCCTGTTAGAGAAACTAACAGGAATTGGTGAACCAAGTCTCTCAACAGAAATGAGGATACAGATCGTTATAGGTAACTATAATGACCGATATCACTCAACCATTAAATGTACACCCAATGACGCAAAAAATAGTATAGATCCAACCATTTAAAAAAAAACAATAGACCAGGTGAAACAAAACATTATACAAGAAAGAAATAGGTACAGAGAAGACTACGAAGAACTGAGATCGTCAGGGCCAATAAAAAACAACAAAAGAGTACGACACAAGGACGAACCGTATTTCCGAATTACCCCCCTACAAAACATTCATGTAGCAAACATAAAGAGGCCACTTAAATTAGCTAAAGCAGAGAAGTTAGGCACTGAAGAAGAGGATGAGAGGTTGAGCGTGATAGTACATAATGGTGACATATAAAAAAAAAAAACCAATTCACGAGCAAATGTATTTTCAGGCCATGTGGATAATAGCTTTTCTGATGACCACCATAAAATTGGTGACAGCGTTCCTGCAAGTAGCACCGCTAATTGAAGATGCAGGATATACCACGATGCAACTCGGCGATGTAGAAATAGTTAATGAAGTATGTACAATACTTCATATTATACACCCAAAGGAACTAACAATTTTGGTAGAAGAAATAGAGAAAAATGTAAGACAGGCCGACATAAGTAACGAGGAACTTCTTTTTAATGAAATTCAAATAATAAAAGCAAAAATTAGATCCCACCCAAGAAGCAGGAAAGAAAGAAGAGGGGCTTAATTAATCTAGGAGGGACAATGTACAAATGGTTGTTCGGGGTAATGGACGACGAAGACCGCCAGGACATAATTAGGCATTTAGAAATAATAGAGGGGAATATTCACAACGCAATAGAAAATATAAATAAACAGATCTTCATAAATGAGCATTTTAATGACTCAATTAATCTAATGAAAACAATAATAGAAAAAGACAGGGTTAAAATATTAAAAGAATTAAATCAGATACAAAAGGAAAATAGAGAACTAGCGAAATTGGTGCTGTACAATGATCAAATGCTTAGTTTGAAATTATATTGAAAGGAAAATTCACGAAATTCAGGATAATATAGCTGCGGCTAAAAACAATTTGATACATCCCGGAATGTTAACAAAAGAAGAAATAGATAGGTTCGATATTGATTTTTATAAATTGAAATTAGCAAAAATAGGAGTTGTGGCATACAAAGAGGAAGCATTAATATTCGCCATACAAATCCCAAGAAGTTTTTTTAAAGAAAATGTGAAATTGATTACGCCATTACCTAATAAACAAAACTTACAAATAAATCAAGAAGATGAATTAATTGTAATAATAAATAAAGAAACCTATATGTATAAGGAAAATACTGTATTTAAAAAATTAAAACTAAGTAAGAAATGTATCTTCTCTGATGATTGTGAATTTATGTATAACAATATAACACAAATTCAAGAAATAAGTGATGACACTTTAATAATAAAGAATGCACATAATGAAAGTTTAATTCAGACTTGTGATGAACGAAACTTCATATTGCAAAATAATTATATTTTAAATTATGCAAATTGTAAAATAAAGATTATTCAAAAGATTTTTACTAACAATAAAACCGAATTTGTTGAGAAACTTGTACATCCTGTGAGGATATTGAATCAAACTTATGAAGCGAAAATAAGCTTTGATAAAATAGTACTAAATAATTTTAAAAACATCAGAGAGATAGAAGAGCTAAAATATCATAAGAATATAACTTATGGTATTAGCGCCACCGTAATTATAATTACATTAATAAGTCTAACTATTGTCATTCTCATTTAAAAAAAAATAATAATAATGTAAATTTCAAAATTATAAATATTAATATAAATATTAATTATGTATAACGGCGGCATGCACAGCATCATATCGCATGATCCGCTAATACGTGACTCAAACAGTAGACTCAGCATATTTTGAGCTTGCTGGAATGTGCGGTACAGCCGGGCATAGCAGTAAGCTCGAGTTGCCGATCTGATGCAAAATCAGTCTGATTTCAAACATCAAAGAGTGGAGTAATTAATTATAAGACAGAGCGACAAAAGCAAGCAGGAGCATTAGAGTCCATTTTGAAGAAAGGTGATCTAAACAGACCATCATCACCCATACCAGAAACCGGAGCTATAGCTGAGATTCCGCTTAAAACTCGAGAAGAACATACGTCCGACTTCAATATAATCTGTGAACGTGGTGCTTCTACTTCTGGGTCAAGCGCTATTACAGGTGAAAGTGCTATAACAGGGGAAGAGGCTATGACAGGTGAAACTGCTATTGTAGGTGAAGGTGCTATTGCAAGTCCAAGTGTTTCTACAGAATTAAGATCTATTGTAGATGTCGACCCAGCTACGTGGCCCAATAGATTAACATACACAGAAATAATATATTTGGTAAATAGGTTCTCCAGACCCACTGTATGAATTTCAATTTCCACAAGATATCAATGGTCGGAGATTTACTTCGAGATACTATAAGAAAAAGCTTAATAACGGTTAAGAAATTTTAAGAGATTGGCTTTCATATTCTGTGGCAAAAAATTTATTGTATTGCTTTTGTTGTAAAATCTTCAATACAACTATAACTTCCGGTCTATCTGAAGATGGCTACAAAAATTGGAGTCATGTAGGTGATATGCTTAAATCTCCTGAGACATCATGAGACCATGTAAAAGCAGTAAAATCTTGGTTAGAACTTTCACGTAGGCTCAAATCGTGTCGTACGCCGTGTCCCAGAGGATAATTAAATTAGAAATAGAACACTGGAATAGAATATTGTTACGAATTGCCTCAATCATCAAAATGTTGGCTAAAACAGCTTGGCTTTGGTATTTTGACTAATCTGTATCAACATAACAATGGTATTTTTAATACTAGTAGAGTTGTTAGCATCAAATGTGCTGAATGAGAATTAAAATCATGACATATACGGCGGAATGGCGTCTAGTTTCAAAGTTTCAACTAAGAATATTATGCCAAGATTTCCCTACGACTAGAAAGTGTAGGTAGATTAATAAGTTTAAACGACTAGTGTATGCAGGTAGACTTACCCTAGCATCCCATCGGAAATGCGCTAAGGCGAAAATAAAATTGTTTTTGAACCGACTCTAAATTGTCAGAATGGATTTGCGTAGCTAGGTTCATAACACAGAGCCATATTCCAATATAGGTCTAACCAAAGTTGTATAAAGTGTTATAGTATATACGGATCTCTAAATTCTTTAGACACGTTTAACAAAACTGAGGGCAGCTTTTGTTTCAAGACCATGTAGAAATATGAAGGACTGAAATTAGCTTAGTCAATATTAACTCCAAATCAAACATAGTTAAAACTTGTTTCATAATCGTAGAACAATTATCAGCACTTGGATAAGAGGGCAAGGGTACTGATAGGATGCTGTATACTATGAATAGTATTGAAAGTGGAGTTAAACGCGCATGATTAAAAGAACCAAAAGTAACCACTGAGGGCATTAGGAGGTATCATGGCCAATAGTCATTCTTTGAGAAAGTTTAGGTTAGGTAAAACGACATTTGGTGTCAAAGTCGCTCTACTGGCCGCCGAAAACTAGGCAGATGTGTTGGTTTGGAGGATACTTGTGCAAATCTATAGTGATTAGTTATTTGCAGCGTTTTTGAAGATAGACTTTAGTTAATCTTTTGAAGGCAATGCAAAAGGATTACCTCGTAATACTGGTGTCTCGCACGACTACCCAAATGTCGCTCTTTTCATGCCGAAGAACACCGAGAAGGGCAGATTAATTTCGGCGAACTCTTCACATAGGTAGGTGCAAGAAAAAAAACATTTAGCCTCTGGGTTATGTTTAATTCTCATCCATATTTCAAAATCAGAATCATGCCTACAAAAGAGTCAACACACATTGTTTTCGCTGAGCAAAAATATTGAAAACTTGATTTTTGAACGAGCTTAACAATCTTTCCGATTATTAACCATCAGCTATCGATTTCTGCCTCATACTTGTAATTCTGAGTATTATTTTTTGCTGAAAGGTACATAAAATTTATTGTCGGACCCTCCTAAGATGTCAAGATGCACAATTTGTTTACCTTTCCAACTAGATTGCCCTAAAAACGATCTTTTACACGCTACACACGCATAACCGTTGGACTAGATGTTCGTGATTCGCCACAAATTAATTTTCACTTAGACTTATGTTTATTAATCAATTTCAGTTCAGATGTAGTGTGTTCAAATGGTAGTATTATTCATATCTGTGACATCTACTCCTCAAACAAATTCAAGAACTCTCCATATCTTATGTGTGGAAGGAGGCAAAACAACAATAGACAGACTAGAGAAGCATGATTAGCTTAATGAGAAGAGGATAATTCATGCAAGTAAAGAAAAATTTATTTTGTACTCTTTATATAACTATATAGTTTCATTATGTATCTCCTTAAGCATTCCTCTGTTTTATAAAATTATACGTAAATATTATTGTTGACCAATCAGAAGTATGGAGCCAAATTTGGACTCAATATTCTGCTTGTTAAAAGATTGTTCATCAACGTCGGTGAATTTTAAAGATGTTTCTTCTTATTTTTAGAGTTTACGTTACACGAAAAGCGAGTTTAATCAAGTCGACTGTACCTGGACACCCATGTTTCGAGACTATGAACGTCTATGGGAATTATTGAAATGAATTTTCATACGACCGGAGTACTGGGGGACATCACGAGTAAGTAGACCCAACAATTTAAGAATGGTCGGGATGTTAAGCGAGGGGTCGACGTAGGGAGGCCCCAGACAAGGAGTTGAGTCAGAAAATAGTGACTATGTGAATGTTCAAGGCTTACCCCCTGAACCCAGACTCCACGGCCACAGTAATTGGTCAGCAGACGAGGACACCCTGAAAGAAGGCGGTCGCAAAAACTCAAAGCATCACCCAAATAACGTTTGTTGAGTATAGTCAGAGATCTTGTGTGGTCATTAGCGGCGGACAAGGAGCTGCGTACAGTGAAAAGAATAGATATAACTTGGTCTGCGCGCTGACAAATTTTGTCAGCTGGATGGGACGTGTCAGTATTAACCCTATCCACCGACGGATGGACCGGCTATAATTAATATCAGCACTGTTGACAAAAGGTGAACTGATCTATGCTCAAGATCACTTGTGATGATGCTCATGTTGTTAGAGATTGTTCGAGTATAAGGAGCAAGCGCCGCCGCAGTCCTGTACGTAAAAGTAGCTAACCAAATCAAGCAGCGGTAAGGCAACCAATATTCTTGTCCATGATGTACACAGGTGGTGATGCAGAAGTAGGAGCGAGCAATGAGGTAAAAATCGTGTGAAATAAAATCTGTACAATCATACTGTCAACTATGTGAATTAGCCATGCAGACGTAAGAAAAACGCGTAAGCGTACGACCAGTCGACGTGAATTATTAGATTGGTGAGGGACTGATCAATGTAAGGGAGATGCAAGCCACTAGTCAGTATCAAGAAGAAGAAGAGATAACACCAACTATGGACCAAAGAGGATACGAGGAACGACTTTGCGGTTCCACAATCCACAAAATTTATGGTTTGCGAAAGGAGATTTCTCTCTCAAAAAATGCGGGTGCAGATAAACATCTAAAGCGATATTAGTTAATTAATGTGACTAATTTAGTAAGTTCTAATCTAATAAGTTTCGAGATTCAACGTCGACTTAAACATTAACTATAATTATATATACTAAAACTCGGAATAGTAGATTGACTAATTTTTAAAAGACTCACTCGCTTCATTAAAGTATTGTTACCATGCAAGATTCTGTATATCGCCAATAGAGCCACTCTCGTCTCTGATTGTAATTTTTTATGTGTCTTCTCGTATTTAGTGTATAATATTTTTTGAATATATAATGTGGAATACTAATCGACCTGGTGCACTCGTATCACAAATAGAATATCAATATGTGTGATCATAAATTAAACTAATGATATGAATCAAAAAAATTAAGGTATATATTTGTTTGTGAGTGTGTTGAACTCACGTGTAATCTATATGTGTTATAAATGCACTCGTTCTTAAAAATATATAAAATTGAACGTATTATATTAATTCAACATTTTATTTTGACGAATCGTATAACAAGCGGCATTAACAAAATATCTTTATAAATAATTAAGAGATTGTTTCCCAGATTTTTCTGCATGCACCCAAGAAAAGTAGAAATACATTTTGTTGCTTTTTTGTATAGGGAAAAACAATTATCTTTGCTTGAGTCGGTCTGTTACCCCCGTACTAGACCATATATTAAACTTAAGATGTAACTGTCTTAATAATGATGAATTGTTCGAACCATTGTAAGGTTAATCTCGGGCTATTTTTAAGTTTCATTAGAACTGAACGCGATTATTAATTCTGTAATATTAGATACGCGTCTTTGATAGAAGGAAGATAATGTCAATTTCTCACAGCTTTGTCATGTTAAATTCTTTTTATAAACGTAAACTCTTATTCTCTCATAGGAAAGTGTGTTCTATAATTATTTTGTAAGACAGCATTTTTACGTTGATTTGGTCAATAATTTTACAATTAAGTGGTGAGTTATTGCGACTCAGGATCCCTTTTAAACCTTCTCATTATTAAGCTAATTGGGGTGAGCTAAACCAAGTTAGTCAGAGTTGTCTTGAAATTGAAGAAGCTTTTCTATGTTAACTTAAATTGCTAAAATCCACTTACACGAAGACACATTGTGTAAATAATTTAGCATTCATTTAAGGTAGGCTATTCATTATTAGAAAGTAAGATCTTCAATATGCCCTAGATATATTGCTTGGCATCATATCTAAAGTCCCTATAAGCAGCAATGACCCATTTGAATTGTAGAAATCATTGATAGTGATATATATAGTAATAATTCAATGTTATAGAATTGATCATAAATTAAGTTACCAATAATATAAAAGAAAAAAGCATTTACGTATACCCTTCCATAAAAAACATCGAGTAGATACCAAGGTTTGTGCTATATTCCATTTAAGAGACATATATGTGATTTACCTGTCAATTACTTAAAGCATTATGGCTAAGATACTCTTCTCGAACAACTAGTAGACTTTAGTCTTTTCCGCAACCATACTTTCCTCCTCTCAATCTCTTGAAATCTTACTATCTGTCGCCTAAACTTTAAAGCTCAACCCAACTATACGACCGTTCTCCTATCCGGTTGGAACTAGTTCCTAGTTTGCTTTTTCGAGGAATCACTTGGAGTGTTCGCGCTTGCTTCGACGAATCCGGAAACTGGGCTTACACACATAAATTGGACCTCCGATCACCTAATCTGCACGACCCTCGGTCACTTTCTGCTCTCAAGTCTCGTAGTTACACTATTTGCACAATTTATACCGAAGACACAACAGAGGGTCTTAGTGTCATCTTATTCTTTTCACAAGTTCTTCAAGTTAGTGTCTCTAAGGAAAAGGGCATTAAGAACCGTTATTGCTATTTGTAGCACTATTTCTAATCGGCTTGGAAATGTGAATAGCCCAAAAGCC